ACCACCAATATTACCCATTAAACCAAGTCCCTAAGTACACATCCCCATATTTCTTGAACACCCCCAAGGACAGTGATTCCACCACGTCTCTGGGCAGCCTGTGCCAGTGCATCGCCACTCTTTTGGAGAATTTTTTCCTAGTATCCAACCTGAACTTACCCTGGCACAACATAAGGCCATCAGCTCCTCTTGGAGAATAGGCCAGCCCACACTTCCCTATAACCTCCTTTCATGGAGGTGTACAGAGCAAAATATATTTTAATTGACTGTGATGGACTTTGAACTCTCAAATCTAAACACTAACATCAGTAAACATCCTGAGTCATATTCTCTAGGAGGAAATCTTTGCCATATGTAGGTTTTGGTGCAGTTAAGGGCTTTTATCCCATCTGAAGATCTGGCTCAGTAATTGTGCAGAACATAAAAAAGAAACCCGTGAGTGCTGTAAAAAAGGGAAACTGTTACTCTGGGAGTGTGTTGGTTAGGTATTTCTGCACTCATAATTAACATTCTCTTCCTAAACTGTAGCACAAACTACTTGCAGAATGGGCTTTTTCTTTTATTGCTGCTTGTTTCGCTAACTAAATTTATTAAGTCATTGGGTTTGCATGTGAATGTGTATATTTTCTATTATATTCTGGGTTATAATAAAAGGAGATATTCAGGGGGAAAAAAAAAGAGAAAAAAAAAAAAAGAGTTGCTGCTTCATTGGAGCAGTACCAGGACTGTGACACCATTGGGATGGCATATTTTGAAGGAGCTGAAATATCCAAGCAGAGCTGTGCATTCCCAGAATACTCTCTGCTTCCTGCAGGGTTTGTGCCTGGAAGTCCACATTTTCATCTGCAGATGGCAGGAGACACTGGTGGGGTCAAAGATAAATTAAACATCGTATTTTTCTAAAACAGGAATAGCTGTTGGGGCAAATCATGGTACCTTACAACCTCTCTGAGCATGTCTGTTGCACTAAGAACAAAAATCAAAATGCCAGTTACATCCATTCAGCTACTTTCTGTGTTTCAAAGTGTCATTGAACGTGGTCTCCCTAATTTTGTATGTGATAGATGCCATTTTACTTTTTTCCTAAACTGTGAAATTTCCAATCAAGCTACTGTTAGCACAAATGAGGTCTGTGTTTGTTTTTCAAAGCAAGTCTAATTACTCTGTCTTAGTGGAATTGCCTCTTGTACAAGTGTTTGAGATACAGAAAGCAAGTTGCAGGGAAATGCTATTCATTTTGCATGTAAATTGTTAACATTTCTTGTGCAAATATTTCATGCAAGTTTTTAGCTTAACAATTAAAAAAAAAAAAAAAAATCTGCTTTTGCAAATCACTTCCAGCAGTATCTGTTGATATTTAACAAAATGTCTCAGACCCATAATCTCCAAACAGTGAAAAAATAAATGTATTTATTTACTTTCTACCCTAAAAGTAATTTAGTCAAGAATACTATACCTATACTATTGTATATACTATACTCTACTACTATACCTATACTTGACTAATGGTATAGTCAAGAATACTATACCATTATTTCTGGAGGAGGTTGTAGGGGGACAGTCTGAGGGTCCCTTTGCTGCTTTTACCCTTTGCTAGATGGGACTCCCCATCTAGCACATTTAATTAACACTGAAATAATTTTAAAAACCAAAACAAACATAAAGATCTGGACAATAGTTCAGTGGTTTTCCCAAATGACCTTTAGTTATCTCTGATTTCAACCCATGCAGTGGCTCTTGCTCAGAACTGTTAGTGTGAAGTCTGTCCTATTCACCTACACTCTGCTTTCTTCCAAGCTCTTCTCAGCTCAAGATAACTGAACCAGCAGTTCCCACCTGATTTGACATAATTGCCACAATTAATTTTGACAGTAAAGCTTGTAGATAGGTTCTGTCATTAATATCCTGAGATGCTTTCATTATGGGGAGGCACAAAGTAAGAGATATGGGCAGGAACCAAGTGACATGACATAGCCATGCCTTGTAAACTTTGGAGGCTAGACATTGGCCACCAAGGAGGTATCAGTGAAGAAAAACATAAGGATGCATGTGCTATCACCTTGGCAGAGTGCCCTGAACACTGCTTGTCTGCCCCATCACTTTTCTGTGAAGACCATAGGGGTTGTCAGTAAGTACAAGGAATTGCCCCATAGTGTGTGTTTGTCTCTGTGTGGCACAGTGTTGATAATGGGGTGTTGTATATAATAAGAAAAATAATAATAGTGAATACAACTAGAACTCTGCTGGGTTTTCTTAAACCTACCTAATGGAGAGAACTGTGTTTTGATGGTGTTGCCATATTTCAGCTAATTTATAGGGGGTGAAGAAGCAACCAGCCAAATCACAGAAACAATCAAAAAGGTTTATTTGCTTGAGTAATTTCAGGGGAGATTAAACATATGATGAAAATCACTATTTCTGCTTTAGTTTTTATGTCTTCATTAAAAATGTCCACTTCACAGATAACATAACTTTGCTTCTTTAATGGTACATTAATGGCTATAGGTCAAGAAGGAATGGCTTCAAGTTGTGCCAGGGGAGGTTCAGGTTGGATATTAAGAAAAATTTCTTCTCTGTAAGAGTGATGGTGCACTGGCACAGGCTGCCCAGGGAGGTGGTGGGGTCACCATCCCTAGAGGTGTTCAAAAACCGTGGAGATGCAGCACTGAGGGACGTGGGCATTGGGCAGTATTGGTGGTAGTGGATGGCTGAACTGGATGATCTCAGAGGTCTTTTCCAACCTTCATGATTCTGTGATTCTCTGATTCTAAGTGGATATGTGGTATGAAGTGATTTCATGAGCTGTATGACAGAAAATAATATTATATAATGATAATTTTAAAAGAGATGTTTACATGAACACTTGATCTTAAATCACTTTTAAATAAAAATCTAGATATCTTTTTCTTTCTATAACCACAATTTCAATATGCAGTAGTTTTTATATTTCTGCTTCATTGAGAATAAAAAACTGTCTTTGTTCCACGTTGAAATAAAAACAAGCATTGAAAATCCAAACATGCCATAGAATCATAGGTCATTTGAGTTGGAAGGAACTCTTTAAAAGTTGCCTAGTGCAACTCCCATGCTTGGCAAATTCCATATTCTGGGGAAGTCAGTGGTTACCTTTTCCCAAGTAAAAACTTTCCAGTTCAGATAAGGAGAATTTTGTTAAAACATTTATACTGGTGGGGCAGCAAGGATGTGGTAAAGGGGCTGAGTGCCCAACCTGATTGCAGGGATGCTCACATGCATTGTGGGGTTTGCTGCCTGGCTGACCCAGCTGAAAGCCATATGGGCTGGGCGTTGGCTCTGGGTTAGCGCACATCTTCTGCAGCCAGGCACAGCCTGCAGATAAAGAGCAGATTTGAGGGGTGCTTAAACGATGATCTTCTGGAAAACTACTTTAAGCACTGTGTTATAGTGCTCTAAGTCATCCAGATCTCTCTCAACTTGTTTCACTCCCTCTTCCTAAAATATTTCTCCAGCAAGGAAGACTCCCTTAGATGAGGCAAAACAACTCAATGGGCTGAAAGTGTTTTTATGCACATGGTGCTGATTGATGCAAGCTTCACAAATGCAGCACAGCTCTGTGCTTTCTACTCTATCTTTGGTGGTTTCAAGCCTGCCCGGCTCTGCAGGTCTGCTGAACACGGGATTTATTGTCAGGCCAACAACACTTTATATAACCCCTGGAGCACTGGGGAATACATGCCTGAATGTTGCTGAATGTTCAAAATGTTCACTCTTAAAATGAGGTCTGCAGTAAATGTGTGGCATTACTCCAGATGCTTTGCTTGAATGTTGGTCATGGGTTTTCCATTGGGGAAGATAGAGAAGCTCCCTAAGAACTCTGAGTGGCAGTGGCCTGGGAGGGAGCATTGTTGTCCTGGAGCAGCACTGCCTTCATCATGGGCCTCCAAGATGCTTTCCCTGGGTTGTGCAAGATGATATGTATTAGCTTTAGAAAAGTTTGAGGGGTGTTTGTGTAATTTTGTCTTTCTTTATTTGTTTATTTGGTTGGTTGTGTGTGTTTGTTTTTTTTTTTTTCTTGCAAAGAATATAATCATTTTAAGAAACCCAATGGGAGCATTTACTTCACTAGGATGAATTTTCATTTAAGTCTGGGAAAAAGAACGCACCTCAGACCAGTAACCGATGTCTGTCTTAGTGAAGAGTTGGAAGCTGCTGGCAGAGTCCCGTGGGCAGCCAGCTCTTTTTGAAGAGGCTTAATGTTATTTCCCTGTTGTAAAAACCTTGAGAAGTTTGCAGGACACAGCAAGGTACCAGACCAGTTCTCTGTGTCTGAATTTACATCTTTATCAAAAGATTTTCAAGCTTTGTGCCAGCATTTCCTCCTGTCTTTTTTGAAAACAAGTAAGTTTGTTACTTGATTTTTGTACTCCCATTTCTCCACATCCACTTACCTGATCCTGACAAGTTGCCTTTTGCCTGGAAGTATTTATAGAATCTCAGTGTTTTAGGCACTGCACATTGCACGTTTCTTGCCCATCATGCAGAAGGCAAGAGCAAAACCAGAGGGATGCCCTGGAAGTAGCAGTGAGCAGCAAAGCTGTTTCTTTGCTTCCCAGCTCTGTGGGCTTTTTTTTGCGTAGTACTTCAGTCCCAAGTCCTTATAGATGAGACCTGGTAGAGCATACACACTTCACAGTAAGACACACAAACAAGGGCATTGCTCTGGCTGGGTTTGAGAGCTTGCTGGGACACAAATTCTTGACTTCTGCACATTTTTCAAGCCTGTTCACTGTGGGTGGTTTTGTAAACCACACCTCTGCCCTGTCAGGGAAACAAAGCCTTCTTTTTCAGTGGGGACTTTTCTGGATGAGTACTGTTGCTGATGCCTGTTGTTTTCTATTGTTAAACTGACTGCAATGCGTGACTGTCATGTATCACTCAGTGATGCCTAATCCAGGAAATCAGTGATTAATCTTTTCACCGCTTTTTCTTCTCTCTCTGTCTCTTTCTCTCTTTCACTGCAGGATGTTTTCACACCAGAGTGCAAATTTAAGGAATCTGTCTTTGAAAACTACTACGTTATTTATTCTTCCACGCTGTATCGGCAGCAAGAATCCGGACGAGCGTGGTTCCTGGGACTCAATAAAGAAGGTCAAATTATGAAGGGAAACCGGGTGAAAAAAACCAAACCCTCATCACATTTTGTACCCAAACCCATTGAAGGTATGGAATCTCTCCTTCCATCCGTGTGGTGTGCAGGGTGGGTGAGCTGGCAGGTGCAGATTTGGGGCTGCATGGATTTGGGTGCTGGGGAGCACTTTTGGAGTGCTGGGCTGCACTGCTGGCATTTCATTCATTTTCCATCTCACGTAAAAAACTCTGCATGTTATCACAGCCTGAGGCTTCAGTGGAAGTTGAATTTTTGCCCGTTTACTGACAGTACAGTGCTGAAGTGTGCCATGGGCTCATGCCATGGCATTTTTTATGGGCTGGCATCTGGTAGATGAAGAGATGTACTGTAACAAGCTTAGTCTTTATCAGGTACTAACTTGATTTTGGAAACAAGCAATTGTCCCTTTTCTGTTACTAGTAAATTCAAGAGAAATTCAGCTCTGCATTCACAAGTATTTGCAGCCTTTGCACAGAAGATGGAGGTGGTAGAAAAACAGAGAATGCCACAGGTGTGCTTCTCCTGTGCTTGTTCTCAGTGACTTTTCTGCAGCTGGAAGCCAATTGGAGGCAGCAGCAGGGCAGCCTTCCTCAGCTTTGGTTTCTGCAGAAGACCAGGGCCTGCTTCAGCAGGAGCTTGGGTTCTGTTCCTGTCCTGCCTTGGCTAGGAAGAGGTTTTACAGGTGCTAGCTGTCCCAGCTGGGTTTCCAGCTCCTTCTGATAACTCTTTGCTATCTGGTTGTCTGTTGGCACTGAGCAGAGCCTTGGAATCCAGATTTCTTCCCCAGTGCAGCATGTGTGGTGTCTGTTGAATGGCTCAGTAGTTGTCTCCTGCATGTGTTAAAGTAGGCCATTCCTGCGGCTATCCTCACAGCAGGATTCACAGTAACAGAGGTGCCTGGCCACAGCGGAGTTCTCATTGCAGCAAGTGCTGCTCCAGCTTTCATTTTGAAAAACCAAACCCAGCCCGAGAGCTTCCCTTTCCTGCAGTTGCCTCCTCCCACGCTCGCTTCAATCACAGCTGTCACATAACCTCCTGAGCGAGTGAACGCTTTGGAAGTTGGCAGCCAAATGAAGGGCTCCTCCACCCCTTCCCTCCTCCACACGCTTTGCAGGCGGCCTCTGCTGCATCAAAGAGCTGGCAGCTGCCCAAGCCCGGGCATGTGTCAGCTTCCCAAAGCGTTCAGCTGTCTGGGACTATGGCTCCAGACGGAGGGCTCTGTTCCCAAGCCCAAGATTCACTGTCAGTAGCAGAGGGCTGGAGTAAAACGTGCTCAGCTCCACGTGACTTGTCTGTGCTGCATCCATCAAAGTCTCCGCGAGCAGAGCTTGCAAGTGGAGATGTGAGAGAAAAGGGGCAACTTCTGCCCTGGTTTAACAGCATCTTTCTCTTTGACATGACTAGAAAGAACGATTGAAAACACTCTTCTGCTGTACTTGCATGTCCCTTCTACTGAGCACCGCAGCATGTCCCAGTGTGTGTGCTTGGCTGCTTTTTCAGGCTGGTGCTGTGCTGCTTCCATCTGCAGTATGTACACAGGTTTGCTTTTGCTCAGGTCCCACCGCCAGCATTAACACTGTGACACAGTGCTGACATGATGATGTGTGCACAGAGGATTCGGGTCCTGTGGAAAGGAGTAGTGTCGCATGCAGTGCTAGGAATCACTTCACCCACCACTTCAATGGCAATTATCTCTGAGCTGAAACTTCCCAGCTGATTGCTGTGCACAGAAGAATTATGCAGCAGCTCAGTGAAGGGAACATTTGCAGGAAAAGGAATCACAGAAAAGCCCAGATTGCTCTTGTAGCATTGACTCCTGTTGCTTCATACTGCTTTCTGAATTTAGAAGCTCTTTTCTCAGAATTGCAAATGGCCAGTAAGCTAATGAATAAGTATGAAATGTCCTCCCAAGGAACTTTTATATATATGTATATATATATATATATACATACACAGTTCTATCTGGGTGTGCTGTGCTAATCCTGCAGAGTGCTTTGTCTCCTGTAGGTTGTCAAATGCTGGGGCTGTTCTGTGCAAAGCCACTGGAAGGGTTTCTACGTTTGGTTTGCACAAGGAGTTAGGTTTGGTCTAGTGGAGGTAGGATGTGCTTGTTTGTTTTTGAAAATCACACCAAGCTTAATCAATATAAAAGCACAAAAAAAACGTAGTGAGTAATAATGGGAAACGTTCAGTTCCTCTCCCATCTGTGTGCTGGCAAAGCCAAGGCAAACAGCCTGCCTGTCAGCAGTTAATGTATGGTGTGAGGCCACTCTTGGTTAAAAACACACATGCGCAACCCACTTCTTTTGATATTTCTGATCGCTGATCATTTGGGCTAAATGAGCCTTTAAAGTGCAGACATATAGATTGAACCAGACTGCGCAAGAAACTAGCTTGGGTATAATTGTCACTTGGACACCAAGCTGTCTTTTACAGCAATTTCAATCTCCTTAAGTGTCTGCATTGATTAGTACTGGACAAACACATCTATTGTGCCTCTTGTTTTTTCCATCTTAACTAATGGGAGACTCTTCCTGTCCCTTAAGTAAAATTTCTATCAGATGCTTTTTGTGAATGAGCTCTGCTGTTTTTAGTTCCCTCTCCTTGAAGATACCATTTCCAGACTATTCTACCAAAAGAGCTCTCACTGGTCCTAACTTCAGTGTATATGGTGTGGCACATCTGGCCCTTCTTCCTCCCTCTGAGTCAGCTAGGGCTGCCCCTGACTCTGCACTCCTGGTGCCTCAGCCCTTAGGCCTTGGACACGTGTCAGTTGTTAAGAACAAGACATGTTGATGACTGGCCTACCACTCTACCAGTCTGTGTTAAACACAGCTCCTCTTTTGTACCTGTCTTTCAGATAGACAGGCTTTGGTATGTTCTCTGCCCTATACTAACTCATTTGTTCATCTATCAAACTGCTAATCATTTTATTAGACGGCAAACGCGCTGTATTTTAACCATGCTTTTGCTTGGCCATTTGTCATCCTGCACTGGCTCCCACCTGAACACGCTGACTCCATCTGGCAGCATCCTGCACATCCAGCCGCCTGGCAGCCGCCAGCTCAGACAGCTCTGAAATGCATCAGCTGGGCCTGGGGTAGGAACACAGTAATTAGAGGCAGAAAACAAGAGCGCATAATCACTCACTGCCTCCTGCCCCTAGCTGTTGCTCAGATAATTAATTCTCTCCACCAGAGCATTAGCTAATGTGGCCGCTGCTGCAGTGGCATTCGGAGCTGTGCCCAGCCCTGCCTCCTGCTTAGAAAAATCTCAGCTCCTCCAAACTCCTGAGACCTAGGGCAGGGAAAGCCATCTACATGGATGTACCCAAGCCTCTTTAATAATCTTTTCCTTGTATTCTAGAGAAAGGCGGTGAGGAGCGCATAGGCACCTCCAAACCTCTTCCTGTTGCAGCGATGCCAAGTGAAGCATGCAGGGTTTGGGACACATTATGTGCTTCCTGAGCACTGCTAGTCCCTGTGCCCAGGGAGACAGCACAGGGTGCATTTAGCTTCCCTGCAAGGGCGGTGTGCTGATGCTGTGCTCGGAAAGCAGCAGTGAGCCATCAATCTTGTATCAGCACACAGGAGAGAGGATCACCTGTCCCTGGGTGAAAGCAGCCCCATCTTGCTTTCAGTCTTTGGAGAGGATGCTCCCCCCCTTGTTTGCCCCCCCTAGACCTCTCCCTGCCTACCTGCTTGCAGAATTCTTTATACATGCAGAGCAGCCTGCATCAAGAGGTGCAGGTACCAGGCAGGGCACAGCCCTGCTCCCACTCTCCCCATTCCACGCAGTGGATCAGGCTCACAGCATTTCCCAATTAAAGCATGAATATGGATGCGTTGATTAGAATCTGGAACACAGGAGCTGATTATCTGATTGAAGCTCCAAAGCATTCGCTGGGTTTGCAGACATGGAGGGCTGTATTTGGTTTGGTGTGTGGGTGGGGGTGGGTGGGAGAAGCAGGAGGAGAGCCTGTTCTCACCAAATTGCTCATCCTTCCCAAGCTGCCTGGTGCTCTGTGCACACAGCCTCACTCTGTCCTTACAACCCCATGCACACACATCCGTGTACAAATACCCAGGCAATATTTAGTGCCGTACAAATTCTGCATACCACACTGATATGGGTGTATCTAAATACTGAAAATACACAGGTCTCATGCTGCTGTAGGTTTTCTGGCATGGTTTGTTGGCACAGCCTGTCTCGTACTTAGGCTTTGACAGCACTGAGTGAAAAGCATACTGAGCAGCCTCCAGCCCTACCCCCTGTCAGTGCTCACAGCATCTGCTGGAGTGGAGGATTAACCTCTAATTCCTGCCTTATTTGCTTGCTAGGTACAGGGTTTCCTTAATTTTCAGTTGCATGGTGTTTACTTCTGCAGCCTGATTTGTATTCGTGACTCTGTGGCCAGTGATGATGCAAAAACCTAGACTGTGCCTTGAATTTCTCTGCGTTTCTTTGTCCTTGTGGGCATTGAATTCATCTCCCATTGCCCAGCTGCAATACTGAGGCTGGAAGCTGAGGGTTGACTGTAATGCACACAGCTGCTTGGGAAGGACCCATGCAAATGCCTATGGCTCAAGCCTGGACCTGTGGCTGAAGAAGTTAGGACTGGGGCAGAACTTGGCACAGTACAGGTGCATCAGCAGCACAAACCCACATTTCTGATGGGAGAGCATCACATCAGAAAATGAGACCCACCTCAGGAGTGATGTGCATCCTGAGGGTCATCAAAAGACCATGCAGCTCGGGCTAAGAGATCACGCAGGAGCATGAGCACAGGTTTTCCTCCATTACTAACCTTCATCATGTTGTCCTTTAAGCTTTCTCTGTCCAGTGTTTTTCTCTCTTTTTTTTCTCATGTTCATCAAATAACAGTGCAGCATTGACAGTTTGCAGTGCAGGCCCTGCCTTCCAGATGCATTGTGAGGCCCAGTGTGTGTTTGTGGGTATGTCTGAACTGCTCTGAAAGCTTTGTGTGAAAGATACTCTATGACTCTATGAGAAAAGTCATATTTTTTCAATGTTCATATATTCAATGAGATATCCCTCCCATTAATACACAGTTGACTGCACTTTATCTCTGTCCTATATTGTTGCACACTGCTATCACTGTTTGTCAAGCGAGGAGTACAATGCTGAGCAATAATGTCATTTGTAGCCTGCCTCTAATTGCCAGAATTTATTTGCAAATCAGGGAGGTTACAAACATTATTAATATTAAAATATAAATTTTCCTATATGTGGGGTATTTGTTTCATCTATTCAGATAATTTTTGAAATTTTCCTATTGTTGAGCACTCAGAAGTGAAAGCTGATGGCTCTGTCCATCCTATGGTTCTACAATAGGAAGCAGTGCATAATCAGTTCTTTCCATCCTAATTTTTGCAAAAATGCAGGTAGGAGAGTTGAAGGCCGGACCCATCTCAGGCTCTCAACTTCAGAGTATGTGCCCTTGGAGTACCTCTGTATTTCCATCCCTTCCACAGCTCACCACATTTATGAAGAGCTCCACAGAGCTGTTCCTTTTGGTGTTACCCACTGGGCTGTCCCCAAGCCATCAAGGTGTGCTGGCTCAGGGCAAGCACTGGCACACCTCAGTGGCACAAGGACAGCCACTTGGACACGGGCCCCCTACATGTGCCTTGGCTATTGACTGATAGGGAAGAACTAGTGCTGAGAACAGACCTCAGGCTTTGGCTGAAGGCACCAAATGGGCTTCAGTCACCACTTCAGGGCCCAGAGCTTCACACCCAGAATGTTTGGGTGGCTCAGAGGCAAGCATGGCTTTGATTCAAGACTCTCAGAATCTTCACGTCAGAGATTAAGGACTGGGGAACAGGTAATCCTCAAACCTGATATTGGATGATAAAAGCATCTCGAGACAATGCCTGGTGCTGTGAACTGGAATGCTTATTTTATGTATATAACATATTAAAAAATAGTAAAGCATAGAAAGCCTCGACTGACTTACCCATGGAGAAGCAGAAATCCCTTGTTTCTGTCTGTGCCTCTGGAAGGATCTGGCTAGCAGCAAAGGCAGACAGCAGATCTTGCTTGGTAAGAGGATCCTCCAGTGGGTCACTGAGGCTTTTGTGTGTCTGCATTTGTGTTGTATTGGGGTGAGGACTTCAGTCTCGCATACAGATAGCTCATGGTGGTCAGTGATGCTGTGACTTCAGGGCTGCTAACGGGTTGTCTTTTCTGTTTGCAGTGTGCATGTACAGAGAGCCATCGCTGCATGAAATTGGAGAAAAACAAGGACGCTCTAGAAAAAGTTCAGGGACACCAACCATGAACGGAGGCAAAGTCGTTAACCAAGACTCGACATAGCTGACAAACACCCTCCCTCCCTCCAGCTCCTCCCTTCCCACCCACCTTCCCACCCCACCCGGCGAACCCACACTGAGAGGACGACAGCTGAGCAAGGCAGGACCTACGGTAGTGGCTAGGAGCCCGAACTCCAGGAGCTTTCTTTGTGTAGGATGAGGAAACTGAACCCCAGATCTTGCCTGTTGCAACGTTTTAAAAAAACAAAATAAAACACACACACACACGCAAAAAAAAAAAAAAAAAAAAAAAAAAAGTGAAGAAAAAAAATGTTTTAAATCAGGACTTCCATTAACATTTTCAAAGCAAACTGTTTGCTCTGTGATCAAAGGGGGAAAAAAGAAAAAAGGTCTCATCTCTGCATAATAATAATAATAACAACAACTAATAAATACAGTAATAATAAATAAAGATGTTACCTTTAAAAAAATAAAACAGAGCTTTTGGAAAATCGAACTTAGCAATAATGATGTGTGAAAAACACAGGCTGGGACTGCGCTTTCTGCCTTATGCTTCCACCTCACGTTCACCACTGGGTTTGCCATCCTCGCTTCCCTGGGGATGGATGGGATTTTTCACACAGCAGGAAAGGTAGGGACGGATTATGACTGTGTTTGCTCTGCTATCAATAAAATACGGCCTGTCCGAATTAGGAGTCTGACAGTTATGGGCAACAAACAAGTTGCTCTGTATTCAGCTTTTCCCATCTATATTCAGACACTGCGTAGTTATTTGTTGCCAGTGTCACTGTGTGGATGTGTTTGACCCAAGTCTGGCATTTTATGCCTTTTTATCATAATTATTTATATTTATAGGCTTGTTTTACTGTATTAGTTGCCAGAGGAGTTTCAGAAATGGGTTTTCAGGTCTTGCAGAATGAAATTATGATATTTATTAGGGAAGAGCGAGAAGATGAAGGGAAGGAAGGATGTCTGCTTGCTTTAGAAACTAAAATGGAGGCAGCAACACTGCTAAGTCCCTGCTGTCAGCAGTGACAAGGCACTGCTGGGGGGGTGGCAGTAGTGGTTCCTTGTGAGCCTGGCTCAGGTGCCAAGAATAAATGCCCTTGGCTTTCCTAGATGGGACAACACTGCCCTGGCTGGGTGCTGGGAGGGTTTTGGTGCTGAGGCCAAAACAAAGGCTTTGGTTAAATCTGTTGGAGGGAAAATCAAATTCAATAAGCAAATACCCAAGGGCTTGAAGAGGGGTATTGTGTTGGAATGGCCCATTACACAAGTGAAAACAGCCCAAAGCATTGCTATTATAAGTCAGGCAGGCTTGTTTCACCTCATAAAATTATGGGTACACATAAAAAAAATGCAGAAAATAGCACTATAATTCTTGGGTCTGCTTTGTTGCCACAGCCATTGCATACTACAAAGCTGCTGTGGGAGATGATGAACAATCCAGCTGTTGGCTGGGCAAGCAGCTGTACAGGCACCAAGAGGGCAAATGCTAAGGGTATGGAAGACTCCCAGGATCAGCATGAAGGAATGCATTTCAAGCATGTTTTCAAAAAGCTTGAAATAAAGAACCTTATGCTATGGCACTGCTGCCCAGCACTGCGCTCACATACTTGCAGCCTGCCTGTGGGCCAACAGCAAAGCATCAGCAACACCAGCCCAATGTTAACTTTAAAATCACACACTGGAGCCCAGCAGTGAGGTCTTCTGGGATGAGCTGGGGAGCTCCCAGAGCTAGGGCAAAGTCACAAACAGATGTGTAGTGAGCCAAAGCCCAGCCTTATCTGATACAACTCATGGCCTACATTTCAGCTTCATCCCACACTACAGGGATCTCCCAAAATTAGGCAGTGGTGGGTTGGGGTTGGCTGTTTACTCACACGTGATGGACATCCAAAGACATGGAGCCTAAAGACCATCATGCAGAGCTAGCAGTTCCACGACCTAACCAAGCCACCAATGCCCAGGTCACAATTTGGACCCTCCTGCCCCAGCCCTGGAGGTCACACTTCATGGAGCACAGCAGGATCTGTGGGCTGTGAGTAACAGCAGATCCAGTGGGACTAAGTGCTGATTTTTCTACTGTGTGTCTCACCCTGGGCCTTTACCCAGTACTAATTTTCATTTGCCAAATTTTCATTTCATTGTCACTGCTCGAGTGAGCCCCTGGAAATGCCATGCTCAGACCAATACGTCAAAGGAATCTGCTTCAATCCATTGTGTTTGAGCTAATCACCTCATGTGACACTCACTGTGCTGGCCCATAACAAGAACTAATTAGTGCAGCTCATAACCAGGGTTTACATTACCTCGGAGTGAACAGAGAGCAACTCTTCTGCCATGTGCTCTAAGTGCTGGCTTTCCTTGCTGCCTACTTGGCCTTAGCAAACCATCAGTCACTTATGGTGGCATGAGGCACAACAAAAGCCTCTCACACACCTTAGGAAACACTGTACACCTCCTAACCTGTGTGGCAGATGGAAAAAATCAGCTCACAGTGGGACATTAGGACAGCCCCAAAAACACTGGGGTTACACAGCCAGCTCCACGTGCCCCAAAATTCATCACACACATGAGAAAGCCCAGGAGGACCTTCAGCTCGTTGGTACAAAGGTCTCCATGTGTGTTTGATTTAAACTCCCTGCCCCTCTCTCAGTGAAGTGCTGTGGGTTAAGTTGGCTACCCATCAGGAAAGACTTTATAGAGACTTTCCTGCTTTGAGGCTCTTACACTCTCTTCTCTGTTTCCCACTGTTATTTGACAGTGTCGAAGTCCTGATGAGTGACATTTCTTTTTTTCTTTCTCTATCCACACACACCACAACCATTTACAGAGCTCTGAGACTCAGTTTAACATGCTAGCAGCTACAATCCTTGCCTATGTGTGGTACTAGGAGGACAGTTTCCCTTCCCAGCTCTGGTAGCATGCCACTGGGAGAACATCTAGTTCACAAAATGGCCAACAAATGTAAATTAAGTAAGCTACTGTTCATCTCACCTGGCCTCCAGCAACTGTTAACTCTGCTATGTCTTCGCTCTCAGAGTAACACGTTCTGCCACAATTTCTGAATGAATGGAAGAACTTGGATATTCTGTCCAGCAGCAGAAAGCACTCCATAGCACAGAAATATCATTACATTTAAAGGGTTCATATGCTCCATCCTTGACAGTGCTGGCTGCACTGCTCTGCCAGTATATGCTATGCAACAAGGCTCCTCTCACCTATACAAGAGCAAAGCCTGATGACAGGGATTTAGTGGGAAAGATATGCAGAAAAAGACACCAGCACAAAAGACATGGCACACTGTGCCAGCAAGGCATGCCACAAGTGTCAGCACTGGCATGTGACAATGTGCTGTGAAATGAAGCTGACACTCGACAAAGCAACTTATGAAAGTTGTCTATCAACACTATTTTTTTGTGTGTGCTCAGATTGGGTCTGGCTGCTGGAGCCCACACAATCCTTCAAGCTGTCACAGGCCTCAATTTGCACCTTTACACCCTTAAACTGCACTGATCGTGCACCATAAGCATGGACTCCCCTAAAAGACAAAACATCCACATCTCAGCAAAGCTGAAGTGAGCAGCAGTGTGAGCTCCCTGCACTGATTGGAGGTAACAGGAAACAAAATGTGCCGTCTTTCCTGGTTTCATGCCAGCAAAACTGAGACATGGATGCGTGGCAGACATTTAAAAACTGTCTTTTTGAGGACTTCAGCACCTAAAAACAAAGGCGCAGGGCTATCATCAGTTGTAGCAAACAAAATCAAACTTTCCTATGAGCGTGCACTAAAAGATATTACCTTTAATATGTGGACATCAACGATAGAAGGACTTGGTACCAAAACAGAGCCAACCTTGGGCCTCCAACCACTGTAACATAGGTAGTAGGGCTCAGTCTGTATGTCACCTTGAATCAAGAAAATAAAGACAAGTTGGAATGTCAAAGGTGAACGTCTGCATGGCCAGATTCCTCTCAACATAGAACAAGATGTTTAGTTGCTGCTGTGGGATGACCCACTGCAAGTACCTACAAGCAAAATCAAATAAAACACCACAATAGTTCCTCAGTGAAGCAGAGTGGTTTCCATGGCATTCACATCTTCATCTCCCACAGCCTGTGTTTCTACCTTCAAGGTGATGGAAGGCCATTTCAAAAATGGCAAAGCAGCAAAGTTTACATCCTCCTCACCAGCATGGAGTAATGCTAAAGAATTATCATGGCATCAACAAGTTTTGCCATGCTCTTCTTATACGCCTTGATTAAGGACAGTAAAATCACACAGGCCAGATCATAACATTTTTAACGTCTTGTTTAAGCACCTCAAACCTGCTCAAATCTTCATGGCCACAAAATAAAAGCAAAGTAATCACCATTTCAGGACAGAGCTTTCCAATACTAAGTAACTAGTTGCATGCACTGAAAGCTGGATGCCTTCCCAGCCTGCTGCCCTCATGGACCCTGGGCACCTTGTCTTTCACAAAAGATGTGTAGGTCACCATGTCTCCATGGCTCAGTTCAGCAGTGCTAATCATTGTGATGGTACAAGAAGCTCACACAAGAACCAGGTCATCCCTACTGGAGGCAGTTGGAGGATTTGGTCTCCCACAGTGGTCTGGAAAGGGCAGAAGCTCTGGTCAAACAGCTGCTTTAAAAGGGAGAAGATAGGATGCTTCATTTACACCATGCTCTGGTATAGGCAGGGAGATAATTCATCTTTGGGAAATGCCATTAATGTTTATGGAGCAATACAAATGGACGTGGGCTCTCCAGAGGGGAAGAAAGAAAAAAAAAAAAAAAAAAGAAGTATTACCAATTAAAAAAATAAGAAGAGTCTGGGTATGGAATCTGAGCAGAAGCAAAGGATAACCCTCCCAAGAGTCTATTAAGAATGGGTTATATATTGTTCCATTTTCCATGCTCATTACAGTCACTGCCCCAGTAATAGCTACATGCTATGCCTTTTTCTATTCTAGTACAATATTCCCCATGGGAACTAAGTATCTCAGTTTAAATACTGAACAGAACTGATAGAAGAAAGCATGTTTTTGTTGTGCTAACCTTGTGTGTTAATCTACATTTTTGGGAGCTGATTATTACACCTCTTTCTCATTACTTGACCCAGAGGACCTCCCTCATCTCCATGCCTCCTGCATGCAGGGAAAGACAAGAAAATGCTGTCCTGGGCCATTCTGCTTCTGAGCAGAACTGTTTGTGCAGATCCCATTGTACTCCAAAATCTGCAACACAGGATCTGATCACAGGATGGCTAAGGTTGGAGGGGACCTTAAAGAT